TCTGGCAACGCGTCTCCGAGGTTTTGCACGAAGCGGCCGCACAGTTCTAGAATTTCCGTCACGGCCCGCTTCGAGGTACAGCGCACTCGGAAGTCCTCTCGGGGAGTGGTGGGCACAGAGGCCTGGCTGGCTGTCGCTGTTGCTAACGCTTCGTCCAGCAGAGGGGCGATGACGACTGGCTCAGAAGACCCCGCCATTTTTTCCCATTTGAACTGGGGGCGGGGACTCTGGGAGCGGAAGGGAGTGTTCTCGCTGGTGCAACAGCACACTTCCGGTCGGAAACGGCGGGCATTGCCACAGAAGAGTTCCGGGTCCTGCTCCGTAGACTTGGGGGTGGGGGTAGGACGGCAGCTGCTGCAGCGGCCATGGGGGCGGCGAGCGTGGGGCTGGTGGGTTGTCACTGCCACCTCTCCGACCTGGACTTCGACAGCGTATGTGAGGGCGAGGCGGGACTTAGGGGAGTGGGGAGGTCCCCGTCTTTTCCCTGCAGATTTTCTTTTCTCTGTTCTTTTACCACATTGCCCCACATTCCCCTCAGGCTCTTGTCTATGGCCCTCTGTGACCTCCCTGATTTCGTATTTAACCTCAACCACACTGAGTTTTCTTTCTGACCCAGTAAAGTGTCTATCTCCACAAAGCTTGTATTGGCCGTTCCTGGTTCCTGGAGTCCTTTCTCTTACCCTCTGGGGGTTGAGCTGTTTATCCCCAGGAATTGGTCACCCACTGCTTTGGCGCGCCCCAGTTCTGATGGGGAGAGAGACAAAACGCACAGGAACACACACAATCAGTTACAAAGTGTTTTGGCACGCTTGATTGGAAGCTAAACACTAATAATAGAGAAGGAAGAGTAGGTGTCATAGTTTCAGGGGAAAACTTTCTTAAGAGGCTAGGAAAATAGGCAGCTGAGCAAGGGGTGAGTTAGGGTGGTGAGGAAAGCAGGCAGGCTGCAGGTCCCAGAAGGAATGGAATTTGGGCCGTTCCTGTTATCAAAAGACTGGAGGAGCCTGATGAGCTTAGGAGCAGGAATGAAACAAGACTGGAGAAGTTTGCAGGAGAGCCGGATGGGGAATATCAGTGAGATAGGCCAGTAAGGAATTTGGATTGAATAAGACACACAGTTTTGATCGATTAAAGGTGAGGGTTTTAAGAGAAAGACAGGATCAGAGAGCCGTATGAAAACTGTTCTGCTGCGCTACAGCAAATGGAAGGGAGTGGAGTTAGAGGCTGTTGCAGTATATAGTTAAAGAGGGGGGTGAGTTGTACCATGATGGCAGAACAGAGTCTGAGAGAAGTAGAGGTAGTCATGATACATTGGAGAGATGGAGTCCATGGGATGCTAGAGATGACAGTTTAGAGATGGCATCCACAGAACATGTTAAGGAATTAGATGTGGCGAACAAGAAAAAGGGAAGAATTGAGGATAGCTCATTTTTAGCTTGTGCTGTGAAAAGATGGTAGTCCTGTTTACTGAGATAAGTGAAGAACAAGGTTTGAGGAGGGGGGAAATGGGCAGAAGGAATAGGTTGTGGGGAGAACAGACTTGTGTTTGGAACAGATTGGAAAGCCTGATTCCATCCAAGTAGAGAGGT